TTAAGACATAATTAACTACCCTTTTGGTTCGAAGTCAGACATTTCATATTTAATGACCTAATACTATGTGTATTCTAAACTTGATTGAAAAATATGGCATTTTTTTCTGACATGGCAATGGTTTTTTCCTTTCCGTTTGTCCATAAGAAGTTTGTTAATGGTGTGAAGGAATCTACACATTATTGAAAGGTAACTGGCAGTCAGTTTGGGCTTTATTTTCCTCATTTCTAAAAAGACTTTTTCTCTGGATTATTGGCTTTCATATTTTTTTTTGACTACAATCCACACGGTAAGAATTACATTTTGCACTGAAAGTCAGGTGCTTGTGTGTATATACCCACACACAAAACTGAGAAGTTTCATGAAACAGTACATGCTGTGCACAGTGCTATTTTATTTTTTACTGCCTTTCACTAAAAAAAGTGTTTTTATCACCCATTAAGCTTATTTTTACAATTTATTCATGGATCTCAACCCACACTTTGAAAAGCACTGCTCTGGCTTATCTCCAAGATTCTCCCTTTTTTCCAACAAAATTGTGTTAGTGGTAATGATAGTTAACATCTATTTCATATTTACACTGTGCTAGGTTTTGCACTAAGTGTTTTTGTATGTATTGTTTTGTATTTAATTCTTGGACTTCCCTAAATAAGTAGGGACTCTTATTATCCCCATTTTACAGATGACGAAATAAATTCTCATAGCTAGCAAGTGGTAGAGCCAAGATCTTGCTGGCAGTTGATTGTTGAGCCTGTGTTCTGACCATTACAATTATTATGAAAAATCAACAACTATAAGGAAAATGTTAGATTACCACCTCCGCCAATATTGGTGACCATGACAATTAACTGTTTTTTATTTTAAGATTATTAAATTGTACCTTTGCTCTAGACACAGGTAAGGACTCAGTAATAAATCATTTACAGCTAACGAACTTGTTTTATTTTAAAATGAGAAAAATAAACTATACATAAAAAACAAAACAAATACAACAGTGAACAGTATAATTGATTTTTAATTAAGAGAAACAAAAGTCAGGAGTTGGTATATTGGGGAAGGTCGGGGGAGTAGAGACCAGGAAAAGAAAGGAGTAAGCCAACATTTATTAAGCGCTGATTATTTTAGAGTTTAGACACTTCATTTGATAACCTGTGTAATTAACAGTTTCATAAAGAAGGCATTACAGTATTTGTTTTAAAGATGGAGAAATCAAACTCAAAACTAGATACTATAGAAAGTAAAATTACACTGTAGTACATGCTGGCTATTGAAAGCTTTCCCTCATGTCCTAAGATAAAAATGAGTTCTAAAAATATGAAAACAGTGTATTGGTCCTAAGTCTTGTGAAGTTGAAATTTGATCACTATTCTGATCATCTAAACAATGTGGACAGTTTTTTTTCCCATAAGTCAGCACATTCAGTATTAAATTGTAGGGCCATTCAAGTATTGAAAAATTGACATTAAATACTTTAGTAACTTATATTGCCTCTTTATACGTCTGTGCCACTTATTTTTTATTTAAAAAAATCTTTGGGTCCAACCACTTATAACAATTATATTACCTTCTAGGTTGGGTCTACGTTGCATACATATTTTTTCACTTAACATAGCTATACTGTCCTTATTGTCATCTTTATTGTCTGTACACTGTTTTTTCTGTGCTAATGTATTTTAAATGATTTGTTTATTATTAGGTACTTACTGAAAAAAATTGTCAAATTTTGGGAAATTGTAGATTACAGATTGAATTCTACCACTTATTTGCTTTATGACTTTGGGCAGATTCTTGAGCCTCAGAGCCATCATCTATAAAATGGACTTACAACATCTACCTTACCGTAAAGGCAGTCAGTATTTCTGTCCAAACGGGCAGTGTCAATTTACATGGTTACCAAGAAAGTATATTAATTTATATCACTTGATACAAAGTATATCAGCATAATTTCTGGGTCTCTGTCCTGTGAAGGCGTTGATATAGATACCAGGGAACCATTTGATGAATTTGTGCTTTGAAGAAGTCAATACAACAGTCATTGAGCTTTAAAAGGTAATTTTTTTAAACCTCCAATTTTGAAATTTCTGTATTTGCCTGTAGTGTTTTTCTTCATAAATTATATCAAATGCAGACTCACGGCTTTTTTTAAAAAACAGTGGTAAAAGAGAGTAGTAAGGCATCTAAAAAGAAACTTAGCCAGGCATGGTAACAGGTGCCTGTAGTCTCAGCTGTTTGGGAGGCTGTGGTGGGAGGATGGCTTGAGCTCAGGAATTTAACAACAACAAAACTTAAAATGCGATGAAAGCCTTATAATACCAACAGGTAAGGTATAAGGGTAGTCACCAATAAAGCTTTGAAACATGATCTTGTCTCCTCTTTATGTGCCCTACACTGACTTGCCACTTAGTAAACTTTCAGGTATTTGTTAAATGAATGAAAAATGAGCCAAAAATTCATTTCTGCTTCCTCACCTGCCACTTAAATTCCTTAACCAGTTGGAATTTGAAATCAACTTAAAAAATTGATGTCACTTGCATCCACCTAATTGCGAAACTAAATGAACAAGATTTGGTTTGCATCCAGATTAACCTCTTGCAGCATTTGACTGTGTGAAATGCCTTTAATTTCTGGATTCTACTTTGTCTGGTGTTCATTTGTGCAGCTCTTTTCTTTGCTACATTGGAGTTTTTGATACACCCTAGCTAGGTATATATTCTTAGCTTCCATCTGAACTACAGGCTCCTTCTCACCCATCCTCATAGGTTTGATCTATAACCTTTCAGTTTCTAGCCTGGACCTGTCTTCTGTATCCAAGATCCATGTTCCTGTCTCTGCCTGGATATTTAATAGGCATCCCAAATTAAATTCATTATGTTTTATTGTTATCCCTGAATCAATATAATATACAGACAGGCACAGATGCCTCCCTGGTTTTCTTTTTCTTCCAGTATTCCCCATCATAGTTAATGGTCACTGCACAAATTTAGTCAGTAAGCAGCAATTATGTAAGGGTGTGAGAATGCTATGTGGGAATGTGAGCTTTAGAATCAACAAATTTTAGTTCAGATCCGTTTCCTGGGCATCATCTAAAGCAGATGTAAACCCTTTTGGAGTATCTCAAAACAGGTATAACATCTACCTTAGTTAACAACTGTCTCTGCGATTATAGCACCTAACGCTTCTCCTGCTGACTTTTTGCCTCAATGATGGTTTTACTGCTATAGGACATAGTGATAGTCTGTATTTTAATTTTTAAAACAAATTCTGATAATTTAAATATATAGACTATGGAGCATTTCCTCAGATGCTGCACTAGTCTGTCTTGTGTGCTCATTTGGCTGTTTTTATAGTTCAGTGAGTTGTTTACTGCTGAAATGATAAAAGAAGTGTTATTTGGGGTATTTAATAAATACTAGCTCTAGCTTAGGCTTCATTAAAACTTGCTTCAGACTTTGTTACTGTTGTTGAGACAGGGTCTCACCCTGTCACCCAGGCTGAAGTGCAGTGGTTCCCCAACCTTTTTGGCACCAGAGACTGGTTTCATGGAAGACAATTTTTCCACAAGGGCTGGGGATGATTGGGAATGAAACCATTTTCATTACATTTATTGTGCATCTTATTTCTGTTATTATTACATTGTAATATGTAATGAAATAATTATACAACTCACCATAATGCAGAATCAGTGGGAGCCCTGAGCTGCTTTTCCTGCAACTAGACAGTCCTATATATGGGCGATGGGAGACAGTGGCAGGAGGCGGTGCTCAGGCGGTGATTGATGCGAGCGATGTCGAGCGGCTGTAAGTACAGATGAAGCTTCGCTCCCTCAACTGCTGCTCACCTGCTGTGCAGCCTGGTACTGGTCCACAGCCCAGAGGTTGGGGACTGCAACAGTGGGGCAGTCATAAGCTGTAATCACAAACTCCTGGGCTTAAGGGGTCTTCCCACTTCAGCCTTCCAAAGTGCTGGGATAACAGGCTTGCGCCTGCCCAGCTAGAATATACCTTTTATGAATGTATGTTGTATATTTATGAATCATGCAGTGTGGTTAAGTCTCCCGAGAGTGCCTGATTACTGTGGATTTATTGTTGTGAGATTTGTTAAATTTGTTAATAATGGGCTATTTTTACTTGTGACTAAATAAAATTATGAATTTTCCTGTACTAGCATTACAAATTATTGGAACTTTATAATGGCACTTTAAGTGTCTTGCCTGATTTTTGTACCTGTGTTTCCCCAAATGAACCTTAGAATTATTTGAAGTTCTTCTAAATCTCAGATTTGGATTAAAATTACATTAAAATATTCATGGAGTGATAGTGTTGCCACATTCAGTTCAGGAACACACGTGTGTTTGTTTCCATTCACATCATTTTGAGTTCTTTGGTAAAG